GGCGAGCCCAGTGGAACCCTTATGCCCCCCCCGTCTTTTTTTGGTTCAAGAATCCCTCGTGAACTAACCAACCCAAGAAATGGTGCCCTTATTTTGACATGGCTATTGGCCTACCAAGAAGTTAAAGGTATGTTGAGGGGTTCAGGGTCGGTTTTGGGGTGTTGGGGTTTTGGGGTTTAGGCGTGTTGACTTGACGGGTCTAGGATTTTGGGGTTCAGGGCGGAGGGCGCAGGGTTTTGGGGTCCTGTGGAGGTTGAAATTGTAGGGTTTTGGGGCTGAGGGCGTGGGGATTGGGTTCAGGGCTGCTTTGGTTTTTTTTTTTTTTTTTTTCCGGGGGGGGGGGGGGGGGGGGGGGCAGCAGCTAAGGTTTGGGCCTTAATTTGGGGTTGGGGTTTAGGGCTCACGTTTGGGGGGTTTGGGGTGGCGCAGGGTTTGGGGTTCTTACGGTTGGTTTTGGGTACAGGATTTTTAGGGTTGTTGAGTTTGGGGGTTCGGGTTTCAATGCTTTTTGGGCTTGGCTTGGGTGAAGCCCTAAACTTAAAACCCCCAAACCCTAAGTCCTTATCGGTTTAGAACCCTAAACCCTAAACCCTAAACCCCTAAACCCTAAACCCTAAACCCCAAACCCTAAACCCTAAACCCTAAACCCTAAACCCTAAACCCTAAACCCTAAACCCTAAACCCTAAACCCTGTCCAAGCCAGGTACGGCTGCTTGCTGACAAAGTTCCCCAGCGGCGTGGCCGACCAGAACGATCTTGCGGCCTCACTGCCCAGTCTTTTGGGACTTTGAGACCTTTAGGGTTTAGGGTTTAGGGTGTAGGGTTTAGGGTTTAGGGTAGCCTTTCAAGCTCTTCATAGTCGAGACCATCTTTTGTTTGCTTGGGGAGGCAGGGGAGGCAGAATTCCTACGACATCCCGGGAAGCTGCACTGGTAGAAGGTTGCACTTGAGGGTCTGCGGCTGCATCCTCCTACCCCGAAATGCTGACAACTGAGCATAACCCCTAAACCCTAAACCCTAGACAAACCCTAAACGAAACCGCAACCTCCCAACCCTAAACTCCTTCAAACCTCCACTGCCCATGTATAGAGTGGCTGCATTCTTCCGCACCACATGTTGCTGAGTCCCCCGGCCGACATGCCGAACGTATATGGTAGGCTCCCTCGGCTTGTGGGATTTAGGTTTGGGGTTTTACTGCGGCCCTAAACCCGAAACCCTAAACCCTAGAACCTTGAACCCTAGAACATTGAACCCTCAAACCCTAAACCCTAAACCCCAGAACCCCAGAACCCCAGAACCCCAAACCCTAAACCCTAAACCCTAAACCCTAAACCCTAAACCCTAAACCCTAAACCCTAAACCCTAAACCCTGTTCCAGCAAAGCTGCGGCGCCTCGTCGATGCGATCCTCGATGAAGTCGTCACGATCCAAAGGCCGCCCTACGGGGTTTAGGGTTTAGGGTTTAGGGTTTAGGGTTTAGGGTTTAGGGTTTAGGGTTTAGGGTTTAGGGTTTAGGGTTTAGGGTTTAGGTTTAGGGACTATAGGGTTTAGGGTTTCGGGTCTGCAGGGTTTCGGGTTTAGGGTTATGGTCTATAGGGTGTCGGGGTGAGAGTTCAGGGTTTCGGGTCTTTTCGGGTTTAGGGTTTGTTCAGGTCTATAGGTTTTAGATTTTTCGGGTTTAGGTTTCGAGTTTAGGGTTACGGGTTTTGGGTGTATAGGGTTACGTGTCTAGGGTGTAGGGTTTGGGGTTGTGATAGGTTTCCCTGCTACCCCATCAACCTCGCGTTGGAGTGGGTCGGGAACTAAGAGGAACACACTCTAACAGGGCACCCCGAAAGGGTTTGGGGTTTAGGGTTTAGGGTTTAGGGTTTAGGGTTTAGGGTTTAGGGTTTAGGATTTAGGGTTTAGGGTTTAGGGTTTAGGGTTTAGGGTTTAGGGTTTAGGGTTTAGGGTTAGCGTTTAGGGCCCAAGTCCCAAAGCCCCGAAGCCGAACTTGAACCATCAACAAGTACATTCTGCAAGGGTGGCTGCGGGTGGCCTTTCCATCCTCCCTGACACCCTAAACCCTAAATCCTAGCCCTAAACCCTAAACCCTAAACCCTAGCCCTAAACCCCAAAAACCCACACCCCTGAAGCTTAGATTCCAAGCCAGAAGGCCCGAACACCCCTCGTCAAACCCTCAGCCCCCAAAAACCTAAAGCCCTACGCCCTAAACCCTAAATCCTAGCCCTAAACCCCAAACCCCAAACCCCAAACCCCAAACCCTAAACCCTAAACCCTAAACCCTAAACCCTAAACCCTAAACCCTAAACCCTAAACCCTAAACCCTAAACCCTAAACCCTAAACCTAAACCATAAACCCTAAACCCTAAACCCTAAACCCTAAACCCTAAACCCTAAACCCTAAACCCTAAACCCTAGCCTAAACCCCGAATTAATCAGGCTCCGCCATGACAGCCTCGCGGGGAGGATCCTCCCGGATGGCGTTCGGCACAGGCCCCTGGCGTGGGGTTTAGGGTTTAGGGTTTAGGTTTAGGGTTTAGGGGTTTAGGTTAGGGTTAGGTTTAGGGTTAGGGTTTAGGGTTTAGGGTTTAGGGTTTAGGGTTTTTAGGGTTTTTAGGGTTTAGGGTTTAGGGTTTAGGGTTTAGGGTTTAGGGTTTAGGGTTTAGGGTTTAGGGAGTTAGGAGAGTTTCGATAGTCAAGAGAGCTTAGAGTTCAGCGTTTAGGGTTTAGGGTTTAGGGATAGGGGGTTTAGGCTAGGGTTTGGGGTCTAGAGTTTAGGGTTTAGGGTTTAGCGGTTCAGGGGTTTCGGGTTTTCGGGTTTAGGTTGTTGGGGTTTAGGGGTTTAGGAGTGTGGGGGTGCAGGGCTCTAGGATTTTAGGGCATAGGGTTTAGGGGTTTGGGGGTCAGAGGTTTGGGGGGATAAGGGTTTAGGGGTTTAGGGTTTTGGGGGTTTAGGGTTTTAGGGAGTTATGGGTTGAGGGGTTTAGGGGTTTGGGGCTTAGGGTTTTAGGGGTTTAGGGGTGTAGGGTTTACGGTGGGGTTTGTCAGTTTCGGGCTTAGGGGGTTTCAGGGTTCAGTGCTTAGGGTTTGGCGATATTCAGGGCTCGAAGTAGCGGGAGGATGAGGGAAAGACTTTGGACACAGCAGAGACCGAGCATAATGGATGGGAGCGTTTGTGGGCCAGAAAACAGGGGTTTTGAGCTCAGGGTTCAGGCCGAAACCCTTAACCCTACATCCTAAACCCTCAAACCAAACCCTAACCCTAGGCTAAACCCTTAACCCTTAACCATAAGCCCTCAGCCCTAAACCCTAAGCCCTTGGTGTTGGGGGCTGGGTCTCAAAGCCTTGGGCGGCCCTTGGGATAGTGGACACGGTTTAGGGTTTAGGGTTTAGGGTTTAGGGGTTTAGGGTTTAGGGTTTAGGGTGTGGGGCTTAGGGTGTTGGGCTTCTAGCAACAAGCCGCCAGGAGTGGGAGGCATGGATTTCGCAGGGCCCTGAGCTGCTCCTCTTTCTGCCTTCTGGCCTAGGGCTTAGGGTTTAGGGTTGAGGGTTTAGGGTTTAGGGTTTAGGGTTTAGGGTTTAGGGTTTAGGGTTTAGGGTTCCCAGTTTCCCACCTCCTCGACCCCCTGAATTCTTAAGGTGCCTCAACCCTCACACTCTAAAGCAACCGAGTTCTCTTTCAGCGCGTTTTGCCGGCCTGTATGAACGAAAACCCTAAAGCCCTAAATCCCTAGACCCCAAACCCTCAAACCCTAATACCCTAAAACCCTGAACCCCAAAACCCTGAACCCCCAAACCCTAAACCCCTAAAACCCTGAACCCCAAACCCTAAACCCAAAAGCCCTAAACTCTAAACCCTAAACCCTATAACCCTAAACCCCGAAAGCCCTAAACCCTCAAACCCAAAAACCCTAAAGCCCTAAACCCTAAACCCCTAAACCCTAAACCCCCAAAGCCCTAAACCCCTAAACCCTAAACCCAAAAAGCCCTAAACTCTAAACCCTCAAACCCTATACCCCTAAACCCTATAACCCTAAACCCCAAGAACGCCCTAGACCCTCAAACTGTTGCTGCCAGGCCATGGTCGAGGAGGGCACCAACGCCAAAACACTAAAAAGGTAATCCCTAGAAACCCTAAACCAAACCCCAAAACCCTAAGCCCTAAACCCCAAACCCCAAACCCCAAACCCTAAACCCTAAACCCCAAACCCTAAACCCTAAACCCTAAACCCCAAACCCTAAACCCCAAACCCTAAACCCCAAACCCCCAACCCCCAAAAACCCCAAGGCCATGGTCGAGGAGGGCAGCAACACCTTGGCCGTTTGCCTGATGGACAACGCCTGGGGGCCCCAGGGTTAGAGGGGTTTAGGGTTTAGGGTTTAGGGTTTAGGGTTTAGGGTTTAGGGTTTAGGGTTTAGGGTTTAGGGTTTAGGGTTTAGGGTTTAGGGTTAGGGCCAAGCCCAAGCTCCGACTCTTCAGGGGTTTCAGAGGTTTTTGCGGGGGGGTTAGGGATTTTAGGGGGTTTGGGTGGGCTTAGGGGGGTTTTAGGGGCTTTAGGGGGTTTTAGGGGGTTTTAGGGGGTTTTAGGCTTTAGGGGCGTTTAGGGGTTTAAGGAGATTGAAGCGGTTTAGGGGTTTAGAGTTCTAGGGTTCAGGGTTCAGCGCGGGTGTGCCGCTCGGGCTAGATCTGCCGCCGCTCATTTGGGGCTTGCGATGCATCAGGCGTATCTAGCCTCAGCTGCACAGAGCCTGGTGGCGAGCGAGACCCCTGAAAGGGTCCAAAAAGTGGAATCCCCAAGAAGTGCCCCCTCTAAACCCTAAACCCTAAACCCTAAACCCTAAACCCTAAACCCTAAACCCTAAACCCTAAACCCTAAACCCCCTTTTCAACTCTTGGGTCAGGTTTAGGAACCCTTGAGGGGATCCTCTTTTTGGATCCTCCCAGGGGTCTGGGTCTAGGATCCGCGATGGCGGTCCCCAAGAATGTGGCAGACCTGATGGAGCAGATAAACCAGCTGAGCACCCTCGAGTTTGACTGCCTCTGTGACCAGATCGACAAGGCTCGCAAGGAGCGCGAGATGAACTCCGTTCTGGTCACCGTCAGTTACTAGGTAGGGTCTTGAGATATTTTGTACTTTCCCTTGCTTGGGTTTTAGAGGAGCTTATTCAGGAATATTTTTCAGAGGGTTGTTTCGGGGCCAATCCTAGGCCAGCTCGATGGCACGCATCTACTCGGACCGGAGCTGATGCCGGCATCCACTACGGCAGCCCAGCTTAGCAAGCGCTTCTCGCGCGCGCACCCGAATGAGGAGCTGCAGTTCTTGGGGGGCGCAGCAGTGCTGCAGCCAACAGACACGCTGGCAAGCCTCGGAGACTTAGCAGTAGAGTAGGGAACCTTGAACCTTTTTGGGTTATATAGCAACCTTTAACCTTTTTGGGTTATATAATCCCCTTAGAATCCCACAAGGTTTTCACCCCTAGGTACTGGACAACTGAGGACAGGAGTTTAAGGGCATGCTGCACCTCGTCCGGCATCCCCAGCGGATGAAGATCGAGCCGCATCGAATGCCCGGAATCTTCGTGGCTCGCAGCCTCGCTCCTTGTGCAACCGACGCGCTCGTTGTTCCAGGAGGAGCTTGCTTCTCTGATGAGCTCGTCTACCAGCCTGGCCTAGACCAGAGTACGGCCTTGCTGGAAGAGTTGAAGGTGCCAGAGGTGACCTTCCGCTCCTGGAACCCCTTCCGCTCTTACACGGCAGCCGCCATCGTTTGCGGAGTTGGCGCAGCCCCGAGATGGCAGGACGCGCGCGTCTTGGCCGTCGGCCTGCCGGCTCTGGAGCTGACCTACTTGGCAGACTTGGTGGGTCAGGGCGGTGCCGTTGTACGCACCCGATCCTTTGTAGTGCTTTACTGTAACTTTAGATCCTTAAACTTACCCTTTTGGGGTTTATTGGGTTGCTTAAAAAGGCAACTAAAGGTTTAATTTATCGCTCCCCTCCTGAGTGCAGCCAAGGATCGGAGCCGCTGGAAGCTGAAGCAATCAGCAAGCTGAGGCAAGACTGGCCCAACGTGCAAGAGCTGGTGCCCCTCCCTGAGGACATTGGCCGATTTCACGTCGTGCGGATCCACGGGCGTGTGGAGGCTCACCAACCGTTGCTGGATAACTTGAAGGCACTCCTCTTTCCAGGTGCGGTGGTGATGTGGTCTATTGAGGTTGTTCCTGGTCCTGATACAGTGCCTGAAGAGGAGTTTGCTCGAACTGTGACAAGCATGCGGCAGTCTGGCCTAAGACCACTAGAGCAGGTGACGCTGGAGCCCTTCTTTGACAACTCCGCTTTGATTGTGTCGCGAACTGGCGACGACTGGCCGGCGTAGTGAATCATCGACAGTTCATCGTCAGAGCTGCTGAGTGGCAGGCGACGCATGTAGATCGAAGCGCTGGGTCAGTAGACCTGGCTCCAATGGCCTTGTGCCACCCTCGGCCAGCATGGAATATGCTGGGACGGCATGTGCACCAATGTACACCCTTTGTGAGGCCGCGCGCGCGCGCGATCTTCGTGAAAGTCTCACCTAGAAGGGGACATACAAGCTTCAACTGTCAAATCACAAGGGTTCCCAGGGAAGGTACCACGCAAAAGCCACCCACATCGAAAATCCCCAAGCTCCATGCCGAAGCTAAAAACTCCCGAGCCCTCAAGATTCAAACCCACACTCTCTTTATAGTCGTTTACCGAAGCCCTAAACTCCTAAACTCCTGATCTTGGCTAGAGAATGGGTACTATAGGGCTTGTGCTTCAGGTAGCCTAAACCTTTTGAACTCCCAAACCCTAAAACCCTCAACCCCTAAACCAAACCTGTCGCAGCCCTACGTCCCGTCTGGCCCGTCAACTACGTAAACTCGACCCGAAACCCCCCAAAAACACCTAAACCCTAGACCCTGAACCCCTAATAGATCCTGAAGCCCTAAACCCCTAAATCCCGAAACCCCTATTGAATCCCGAATTAAACCCCAAAACCCCTAACCCGTAAACCTCCAAACCAGAAATCTGGGGGCGAGGGCATGGGAAGCTGAGGGTAGTTATATGGGCCCTCAATATGGTCCCTTGTTTCCTTTACAGGGTTTAGGGTTTAGGGTTCAGGGTTTAGGGTTTAGGGTTTAGGGTTTAGGGTTTAGGGTTTAGGGAAGTATGGGATCCTTGGGTTGTATGGGGCATACCAGGGTTGTATACGGGTCCCATACTAAGGGACCATGGAACTCCCCTAAACCCTACTAAACCCTCAACCCTCAACCCTAAACCCTAAACCCTTTTCCAAAGACCCTAAACCCTGAGGTCGTGAAGGCCTTCAATCTCGGTGGTGCCCCCGGAGTTTCTGCCGACATCAAGTTTGAGGAGTTCGGGCTTGAAGCTTTACAACTCTAAACCGCCTAAGCACTAACCCTAAACCCTAAACCCTAAACCCCAAACCCTAAACCCTAAACCCTTTCAGGGTTCAGAGCGTTCTTGGATTTAGGGCTTCGTGGGGGGTCGGGGGGGCAGTAGAACCAGAAGCCCGCTAGCTTGGAGGTTCATGGCACTTGTTATCCAAGTATAACTGTACTTATAGGGTTTAGGGTTGAGGGGTACTTCTTTACTTGTTACCCAAGTATAACTGTACTTATAACCCCCTTGGAAGCCCCTTAAGTGCCCTTAGAATTGGGTTTAGGGTGTAGGGTTTAGGGTTTAGGCTTTAGGCTTTAGGCTTTAGGCTTTAGGCTTTAGGGTTCAGGGTTCAGGGTTTAGGGTTTAGGGTTTAAGGTTTAATGTTTAGGGTTTAGGGTTTAGGGCCCTGAGGGCATGTGGTCCCCTCGCCTGCTTTCCCCGTCTTCGCTTCTTGTGTTAGAAGTCAGGATTTGCAGGTTTAGGGTTTGGGGTTTGGGGTATGGGGTTTGGGTTTTAAGTTTAGGGTTTAGGGTTTAGGGTTTAGGGTTTAGGGTTTAGGGTTTAGGGTTTAGGGTTTAGGGTTTAGGCTTAGGGTTTAGGGTTTAGGGTTTAGGCACCGTAGAAACCTTAGGGACACCTATGAACCCTGCAAGCCCCGAAGCCTAGCTCAGGCTTCCGCCTCTTTGTTGATCTGCTGTTTGGGTAGAAACGTAGGGCCAGGAGCAGGCGGGGTAGTAGTCGTCGTCCTCCTCCTCGTCGTAGTAGTCGTCGTAGTAACCAGTAGCAGTACCTGTAGTATCAGTAGTAGTGGTGGTTGTTGTTGTTCGCCTCATCACAAAATCGCTGTTCTTGTTTCTCCTTTGTGGTACTTTACTGTAACTTTAGTTACCCTTTTTTGAGTTTATTGGGTTTCTTAATAAGGCAGCTAAGATTTTAATTTTTAGCTACCCTTCTGAGTGCAGCCAAGTCTCCTTGGCAGTCTAGGGTTTAGGCGGTCCCCGGTCGCTGGCTTTACGGTTCAGAGCCGGGGGACATCGACCCGGAGTCCCTAAACCCTAAACCCCAAACCCCAAACCCCTAAACCCTAAACCCTAAACCCTAAACCCTAAACCCTAAACCCTAAACCCTAAACCCTAAACCCTAAACCCTAAACCCAAAGCCGACAATCCCACGAGCCTCTCAGCCCTCCCAGCGCAAAGTCGCCCAAAGGTGACGGTGTCGAAGTACCTGCGGACCGAACGCCCTGGGTTTTTGCAGATTGGGAAGCAGGGTTTAGGGTTTAGGGTTGAGGGTTTAGGGTTTAGGGTTTAGTGTTTCGGGGTTAGGGTTTAGGGTTCCTAAACCCTAAACCCCACACCCAATCTCCGAAATGTTGGGCTGACGGGCCATGCGAACTCTCTGGTACTTTGGGCCTCAAAAGGAAGGTCAAAGGACTTGGGAGCTTTGGGTGGCGTCGGAGGTCAAGGTTTTTGTTGTCGTTTTTTTTTTTTTTTTGTTTTAATGTTTTTCTCTTCAAATTGGCTGCACCCAACCCCAACACTCCCTTCAAAGGCCCAACAGGCTTCCGGAAAGCCCGTGCTCACTCGACCCCAGCAATGGGTTTGAGGTTTAGGGTTTCGGATTTAGGGTTTGGGGGTTGAGGGTTTAGGGTTAATTGGCGGGCTAACTTCACTCGTGATGCGCACACTTATAATCTGCTTTACAACGAAGAGTTGTACTTCTTTGCTTGTGTGTCTGCATGTCTGTATGTATGTGTCCTACGTATGTATACGCATTTACTGGTTCGATTACATGTTTTTTTTATGTTCATATCCTTGCAGATTTCCACATTTGTATAGTTGCATGTTGATGCATGTCTGTGTCTATGCATTTGCATATTAATACATGGTTTACTCTTGTTTTCCTGGGTGCATATCTATTTATATAGAGAGAGAGAGGGAGAGAGACAGAGAGAGTGAGTGATTTGTTACTTAAGTGTTTGAAAATCGTGTTTATACACGTACATCTCTATATGTTTACATACCCATCATTTCTGTACTTACGTGTTTGCTTGCTTGCGCAGAAGATATGTATACGATATATGTACGGACACACGTATGCATATACATAAACATTATCTATACCTAGGTGTATATATGTACATACATATCCATATACGTAGATGACTAGCTTGATTGTTGCTTGTAACTACATATTGCCTTGCATGATCCTGACCACAGTCTGCACCGTAGAGGTTGTAAATAGACGCAAAGCGCAAATGCGTGGCTCCCGAAGGACCCCACCAGAAAAACGGTCCGGAGCGTTCCGGAGTGGGAGTTCGATGCCTCCGTCCGCCGCCTCAGGGTGTGTTGAGGGCTTTAGGTAGGGAACCTACAGGGTGGGGCCCCCTTAGTATACTAACTGTAGTTAAGGGACTTATAACCTAACTTAGGCTCCTTATAACCCAATTTAGGGCCCTTATAACTCTACTTATAACTAGGGGGCCCCACCCTGGAGGTAGGGAACCTAGACCCTAAACCGTAAACCCTAAACCGAGCATGTCGGGCTTCTGCGTGATGCTGCGTGAATCCTCAGTTGCTTACTTCTCCAACAGCTGAACTTTAAACTTTTTGGGTTCCCTTATTTAGTAGGAATAATAAAGTTTAACCTTTTTTCCCCTTGGTTATTGGAGAAGTAAGGTTGACGTGGATGGTGAATTCTCAGTTGACGTGGATTGTTTAGGGTGCAGGCTGTGGCGTCCACAAGCTTAGTTGTCTGCCGCGCCGTGGGGCTAGTGAGCGTGAATGCAGCGAGCTGATTTATTGCTGCTCCTGCACCTAAGCCTGAGGCCCACTTCCTCAATCCTAGTCGCTCCGATTGTCATAAACCGTTTCCCGTGTGTGTTGACTGGGGCAAAAGGCTCCTTGCCCTAGACCCTACATCACACCACGATTCAGAACGCTGCCCACATGATATGATGTCCTTATTCTTATTCAGCCCCTACGTTCCAAAGTACCCTAAACCCTAAACCTAAACCCTAAACCCTAAACCCTAAATCCTAAATCCCCCAAGATAGCCCCTACATCGTCCCTAGGTTCCCGCCTTTAGTCCCTCGCATGTCGGGCAGTGTCAAGGCCGCCATCGAGCACGACTTCGTCACAGCGAGTGCGCGCCTCCGTTCTGCCGCGCAGTGCGGTTTAGGGTTTAGGGTTTAGGGTTTAGGGTTTAGGGTTTAGGGTTTAGGGTTTAGGGTTTAGGGTTTAGGGTTTAGGGTTTAGGGTTTAGGGTTTAGGGTTTAGGGTTTGGGGTTTAGGGTTTAGGGTTTAAGGTCCCCCTCCCCATGATTCGCATATTTTGACGGCTTCCCTCAGCCCAAAGCTCGAAACCCAAAACCCCGAACCCTGCATTACATGCTTGCAAGACATCGAAGTTAAGGATTGGGGACCTTCATCACTTCTTTCTGACCCTAAAGCCTAAAGCCTAAACCCTAAACCCTAAACCCTAAACCCCAAACCCAAAACCAACCCTGGTTTAACTATGGCTTAGGGTTTCCTCACCAAGCGGCTTTCGTGAAGAAAGCGGCCACACACACATCCCTGCATCTCCGTCCTGCAGCCCCGAAACCCTCAAACCTAAACACGAAGCCCTGACTCCGAAAACCTTAAAAGCCTAAACCCCCAAGCCTTTAAACTCCCGAAGCTCTTTTGGAAGTCCGTTTGACTTAGTAAGTAGGGTTAGCAAGCTGGGTCATGGGGATTATAAGAGGCAAGAGGGTTTCTAGGGGCTACTAAGTAGACTTACCAAGTCAAAAGAGCTTCCAAGCAGGTCACCCAAGTCTCCAAAGCCCAAATCCCAGGTGTGCTCTGTGCTGTTGATCGCTATGTCTTCGCCGCAGCCCCGGATTTCGGGTTTCTGTTGGGGCTCAGGGCTTAGGAACCCTAAACCCTAAACGCGAGACCCTAAACCCTAAACCCT